CCTTTTCTCAGAGAAAGGAAGAAGAAAGAATGAAAGAAAGAAAGAAAGAAGAAAACAAAATTATTTAGTTAAACTATAAAGCTAAGAAAAGAGGATAAACACAAGAGATGAACAATTCTGGAGGCTTAATAACCAACTCATAACAGTTTCTGAGAAAGTTGAGAAAATAAAGAAAGAAGGAGAAGGAAAATTATCAAAGAACCACCCCAGGCCAGAGACCAAGGAGCCCCCAGCGAGAGGCCGGGCAGAAGCCAAGGAGCTGGGAGGAAGAGGCCCTGCTCGGGGCAGGAGGGGCCCTGGCAGAGATGGAGCCGGCAGCCAGGGCTGGGCCTGGGAGTCCTGGAACCCACCAGTAGCCCTGTGCTGGTGACAGTGGCTCGTCCCCAGAAACCTCAGCGTCTTTTCAAGGTTTTTCAACAGATCTACCCCACCAAGGCATTACCACCCTCCACCCCGACACACACCTTCCCAGCCAGGCTGGGCTGAGTCCAGCACAGGGCCTCCCCTCGGGGACACACACAACTCCCATGGGTGCCCTGGTTCATCACCACAGTACATTGAAGGGAGGGAGGCTGAGAAAGATGTGAACAAAAACACAGAGTAAAGGAACGCTGGGCATGTACTCAGGAGCAACTGGAAACTCGAAACAGCGGAACAGCATCCTCAGAGCTCCTAGAACTCTCCACCCAGCCTAACCGCAGGTCAGGCGCCCAGACAGGTCCATGGAGACCACCTCTCCTTCTCTCCCCTGCCCGGAGGGGGTCTCCCTGGCACCTCCACCTTCCCAGTCTGTGCCAGGCTCTCCCACCAGCTTGAGGAGCCCCCCTCCTCCCACTTCCCAGTCTTTTGCAGACTTCCCAGAGTCCTCCATGAGCTACCAAGGAATCAAACCCCCGGGGCTCCAGCCTTTGGTCATATCCTTCCCATTCTTCTTCATTGCCAGGAGCTTGGACCCAGCCCCTCAGCCTGCACGTGGGGTCCCAGCCACCCCTACCATCTGCGGCTCTTCCCTGGCCTCCCGAGCTCAAGCTTCTGGATGCTCTGCTCCTGCCCCACCTGCCCCTCTGGTTCTCCTTCCCCCAGCCGGTACCCCAAGGCAGACGTCTGCCAGATTGTCCATAGCGCCCATTTAGGAGAGACCCCTGGGTATGGTGTCTATCCCACCCCGAATCATCTGAAACTCAAGCGGACAGACAGGCCACACAGGACACCTGAGGACACAGGCATGATATGGCCACTGCCATGTCACTGCCCAGTCCTGCCTGGCTCCACTGATTGCCGCCCCTGGAAGGGTTTGACACAACACTGTTGCATGAATCAACAAGGATGTGGGATCCCGCCACATCCGGAAGGGGCTTTGCACACTGCCTCTTCTCATGCCTGCATGCCGATCCCTCAGATCGTGACCGTCACCTGCAGAGGGACCCAGGCTCTGACCTGGGTAAGAGCCAGACATGAGTAGAGAGCAGAGCCCCGTGTATGGCTATGTCCCTGAGCTCAGAGAAGGACCTCTGTCTATGATACCAAGGTTCCTGCTCCACAAGAAGGCCAGGCCACCAGACAGAAGGGGCCTAGGTGGTCACCCCAGGTCCTCCGTGCGAGAGCCAGGGCCATCAGGCCAGCAAGGGGCACCCTTGGCCCATCCACTTTCTGCTGTTCTCCTAGGGGCCCAGACCGGAATCAGGGCTTCCTAGGTCTGCCCAGTCCTCCCAGCCTCAGTCCTGGGTTCTGCAGTCCTCTGTCACCTCCATCCTGGCCTGCGCAGCTCAGGTTCCTCAGTTTCTTTCACAATGAGGAGCCCCACCCAGTCCTATGAACCACGTGGCCCTGGACGCTTCCTTTGTTTAGATATCTGCAGCATGCTCTCCAGGAAAAGCCGCTGGGCTGACGGGGCCTCTGCTTTTTCTTTTTCCTCCTGCCGAAAGGCTCACGCTGGCGCCGCTGCCAGATGTCTGGCGGCCCCAAGCCGCCTTAACCACTTGCTGCCCAGGGGAGCCTGGAGGGAGACCCCAGATCCACTGCCTGGGGAGAGGAGAGTTTAGGCCCAAGCTGGCGATCTTCTCCTGGAATCCAGCCTTCCCAGCCCAGATCCGTCCAGACTTTCCCTCCCTGGCAGAGATGGGTGTGCAGACACCCCCAGGCCCAGGGCAAAGCTAAGCCAGCTGGAACCACTGCCAGATGGCAGCATGGCCATGGGAGCCCCGCCACGCCCAGCCAGGCGCTCGGGATTTACTTCCAAATTTGACCCTCAAGGCGATGTTCTCAGGGGATCGGAATGGAAGAGCTAGCAAGCAGAGGCACCACACTCCAGGCCCCCTTTGTTTCCTAATTTAGTTTCCTGGGCTCTGGCTACAGCCCTGGAATCCCCAGCACGGCCAATCACCCCAGCAGCACATTCAGGTCCCAAATGCTGAGAACCAAGCCAGCCTTCTCGGGATCTGAGTTGACAGTTCCAGGTCATTCAGAGCCACAGCCTCATCCCTCAAAATGCTCAGTTCTTTTTCTTCACACCGAGCTCTGTCCCCTGCTCTTTCTAGTTTTTTTTATTTTGAGACAGAGTCTCATTAAGTTGTTAAATCAACCAGGCTGCATTTCAAACCTGTGATCCTCTTGCCTCAGCCTCCCAGAGAGGTAGGATTACAGACATGTGCCACCACCCCTGGCTAGGTCCCTATCCTCCCAACCCTCTTCCCTGCTTCCTCCTGCTGTAATCCAGGGAAGTGCACATGCCCGTTTGTGATGCAGTGGGGGGCCTGATGGGGAGCAGGCAGGAATGGCAGTTTGGTTAAATCCTCTTCTTTGGGGATATTTTAAGAAATCGAGGCATGAAAAATGTGCCTTTGGGAATGAGGCTACAGGAAGCATCTCCTGATCACTGAGAGGCTGGCACAGCCTCTTCCTCTGGGCACCCCTGGAACCTGCAGCCTCTCGGGGCGTCAGGGCCATCACACATGTGCTCGAATTGGCCCACCATGCATGGGGCTCATGGAGCTCAGGGCTGTCCCTGAGGGCCATCTGGTCTACCTCTCTCTGCAGGTGCAGGATCTCAGGCCTGGGGGGGTTCTGGTCTACACAGGGGCTTCAGAATGGGGCAGAGGGTGGTGCCCAGCCCGGCACTCACTTGACGGCTCTGGAAGAAGCAGCTGTTCGAGTGTGTGTTTTGTGCAGACCAAGCTCATGATTCCATGAAAAACAAAAGATGAAGGTGTGAACCAAAGGAGGAATTTATGAGTTTTATTGGAAATAAGAGGAGAAAGTTCCCAACAGATGTCTGTTACCAGGGAATTCTGAGCGGAAAAATCTAACTTCTGGTCCCTGTTCTAGTCTGTATAAGCAGATCATGGGAAAGAGGGCCTCGTGTTACAGGCAATGAGTTCAAAAGTGTTCTAAAGAAAAGAGTTTGTCTCAACTTTCTGCTTCTGGAAGTCCAGCTGAAATCCAGTCAGGAGCAGGAGGAGCCAGCAGAATCTCCTTCTCAGAGGGGAGGGATCTTATCTGTCTATTCCCACCCCAGCCTTTTATCCTCCGTTCTTGTGAGGTTTCTTGCATTTTTACATACTGAAATGTTAGGCTTACCCGTCTGCTTGACTGAGTGGCTGCTTAGTATCCTTTGTCTGATATCGCTAGGCTGCTGTAACTGCCCACCGTAATAACTAACCCAGGACACTACAAGGAGGTGCTGGGACTGGTGCTGGTGCCCAGAAAGCCTCTGTCCTTCCCTCGGGTGCTGGGAGCCCGTGTTGAAGCAGGTTTCTCGTGTACAGCCACATTTCTGGCTGCAGTATCACCCAGGGGCATTGGTGATAGAGGACATGTGCATTTACTCTGGATCTGTGGCCCATCCAAATCTGAGTGCTTCTCTTTCAAAAGGAAAAAGCAAAATAATAACTGTCCTGTGGTGCTGTCCCTCTGCCAGGAAGCCAGGCAGCTCCTGTGTTCCTGGCATCCTTGTGACACTCGAACACCCAGAGTTACTGCTCATCCTAACAGTGTGAGCCAGGAGACACTATGTAGGGCTGAGAGAGGCCTGGCAAGGTCGAAGCTATGCAGAGAGGGACAAAGGAATAACTAGCTTAGCCAGCTGTGGTGGTGCAAGTCTGTAAACCAGCAAGTGGGGAGGCTGAGGCAGGAGGATAGCAAGTTTGAGGCCATCCTGGGCAAATTAGTGATTTACTGAGACCAAGACGGGCTCATCGAAAAGTCCCTGGATTCAATTCCCAGTACCACAAACAAAAAACAGACTAGTATATATATTCGAAGCCTATGACGTACATTATTCATAAAATCTGACCCGTAGACTCCTGCATCTCACTGTGATACTAAATGCTAGATGACAGCTGACCATCCGCTCAGGGTGCTGGGCTGGGAACGGTCAGGGAGCTCCCAGGGCAAGGCCTGGGCCGAGGAGGATCACAAATTCAGCCCAACATGGGCAACTTAGCATGACCTAGTCTCAAACTTTAATCTATTTTTAAAAGACTAGGGATATAACTCAGTGCAAAGGCCCTGGGTTCAATTCCCAGTGCCATAAAAAACAAACAAAAACTACAGATGGCAGCGTCATGGTTCTTACAACCGGGTTTGCTCTGCAGGACCTGCCAGGGCAGAGGAAGGCAGGGAACAAGTGGGGCTGGCCTAGGCCCAAGGCCAGGAGACAAAACCCGGGGGAGAGTCACAGTCCTGCTCTCTGGCTTCTCTGGCTTGAAATCCAGCTTCAAGTTTAGCCTTTGTGGAATCTGATGCTTTCCATTTACAAAGTGCTCCAAGGAATTTAAGTTCCCTGAGGGACAAGTGTGTGCTGGCCTCAGAGGGCTCTCCAGGGAGTCCACAACACATGTGCGTGCATGTACACACACCTGTATATACACACTCACTTCACCCTGTGTACATGACTGTTTTGTGATTCCTGGGCAGGCCCTGGCCTGGTCCAAGGCGCTGCACCATAGCTCTCGAATCTCTCCCCCTGCCATGTGACTGACGCTATCTCTGTCTGTCCCCAGCCTGTCCGGGTGCCCGAGAGCCACGTCAGCCATGAAGAAGGCAAAGCTGTCCGGGGAGCAGATGCTGACCATCAAGCAGCGAGCCAGCAACGGTAACCGTGCCCCGCCCCACGCCACGCCAACAGCCACTTCCTGGGCTCTGCTGGGTTGACAACGCCCCAAACCTCAGATTGGAGCAGATTCGGCCCTACCTGCCGCCCTGTCCCAGCACCCATGGTGCCATGGTGCTGCGCTGCCCCCAGCAGTGGCCTCCGTCCCCCTCACTCCCTGTGCTCCATGCCCACGATTCTTGAATCCGCTTCTGCTAAGTCTCTACTGCTGCTCACCTGCCCCTTGTGCGCCGAGTCCCAGAGGGAAATGAGGCTCAGGAGGTGGCCTGGGCAGGCGCAGTGCTACCTGCAACCTTGGGCCCACAAGCCCCTGAGGCCAGTCCTCAGGCCTCTGGACCCAGCATGCTCGGACTGAGGACAGGGGTGCCTCTCCTAGGATGATTCAAACTATGTCCTTGCATTGGCCTTCTTGGTTTGAGACAGTATCTCACTGTGTAGTGCAAGCTGGTCTTGAACTCACTGTGAGGCCCTGGCTGGCCCTGAAGTCATGGTGATCCTCCTGCCTCCGCCTCCTGAGTGCTGGAATGACAGGCGTGAGCCCCCTCACCCAGCTTGCACTGGGCTTTTGGTTGGTGATTCTGTTGCATCATCAGCCACAGGCAGAGCAGCAGGCCCATCCACAGTTCCTAAGAGCATACAGCCACGACCTACCTGGAACCCCTCTGTTCCACCATCAGTCATTTCAGTGATGCTGGTGAACAATTGGCACTGACCACATGTCCTTACTGAGCAACACAAAGCAAAGTGTTTATCGATGGGCTGATAATACAGGGTGCCCAGAGGTGGCAGCCCGTACTCAGTCATTCAAGCCTGAGTGACTTTATTAAAAATGAACCTTCATAGCCAACCGTGGTGGTGCACATCTGTCATCCCAGCACTAGGGAGACTGAGGCAGGAGGATCTACCAAAATTCCAAACCTGCCTTCCAAGGCTACATAGAGAAACCCTGTTAAAAGAAAGAGAAACCAAGAAAGAAAGAGAAAAGGAGAAAGGAAATTGGAAAGAAAGGGGGGAGAGAGAGAGAGAGAGAGAGCATGAGAGAGAGAGAGAGAGAGAGAGAGAGAGAGAGAGAGAGAGAGAGAGAATACAGAAGGATACAGAAGGGAGGGAGGGAGGAAGGAAGGACGGAAAGAAAGGAGAGATGGAAGGAGGGACATCACCAATTGCCGACCCCATGCCAGGCTCCCAGCTCCACACAGCCCAGTGTCTCACCCACAAACACACCCATACTGCAGCAGGAAGCCTTCAGCAACTTGGCCTGAGTCCGTGCCCATCTGCTACTCATTAGGGAAGAAAGGAAGTGGCAGGAGATGAAGGCCCAGCTCAGAAAGAGGAGAAGATGGAGAGGAAGACTTGAGGTCCCAAGGTGGGACAGCTTGCACCTGGGGCACCCTGCCCTGGCAAGAAGTGGGCAGCCTGGAGGACACCCAGCTCTCAGCACCCAACCACTGTCCTCCACTCAGAGGCCCCAGTTGCCTTACATATAGGGGTTCCCACTCTCAGCATCCCTATTTGAGGTGCAGCTTTTTCATTTGCTAAAAGCCACACCGAGGTCAGCCCAGGCAGTATTCTTATAGCTTTAGCTGAATTTCCCTTTTCTTTCTCAGTTTTAGACACCCAGGTTGCAGGAGAGGCAGCATTAAGGGCCATAGAAGCACCCACACTGTGATACCATTGTTTTCTCCCAAGGGAATATTTCCCGAGCAAATTTAAGTCCAACTATAAGCAGAGCAAAGGGGATCCTGGAAATGTGAACTCCAGCATCTCCAGGGGTCATGGCTTTAATGTGTTCATTCTCCCACCACAGGTATAGAAAACGATGAAGAAATCAAGCAGTTAGATGAAGAAATCAAAGAGCTCAATGAATCCAATTCCCAGATGGAGGCCGACATGATCAAACTCAGAACTCAGGTAACAGTTTTTGAAGCCCTCAATTCTCGTGCTCATGTGTGTGGCAGAGAAGCCACTTCAGGGAGAGGCGTCCTGTTCCTTCGCTTAGCTGTTGGACTTTTTTTTTTCTTTACCCAATATCTTGGTTCTCTGCTGCAATCATTTGGTGGCAATGTGTGCTGTGATGGAGTGGCTGCAAGCTGGCTGCTCTGTATGTATGTGTTTGCATGTGTACGTGTGTGTGTGTGAATTTCACGAGACACTTAGGCGAGTGGTCATTCCCCAAGGGCCACCTGTCCCTACAGAAGAGGGGTTTTCCCCCTGTAGATGCTGTGGATGCTATTGTTATGGGGTCATGGTGCTGTGTCTACACTGGTGTCTGAGCTGGTGCGATACCCCTATGTGTAAGGTGCCCAGGATGCCTGGTAGATCAGGGAGAGAGGGCACCTGTGAGGGTCAATGGGTTGGCACTGTAGACCGCAAGGTAGGTGTCATCACACACATGGTGTCTGTCCACCCGACCCCCGGGGTAGCACAGTCACACGGTGACACAGCAGTTGCGGCCAGCCAGGGACAGGCATGAACAGCAGCAGGCTGGCAGAGGGCAAAAGTCACTCGGCAGAGGGTGTTCCAGGATGTGGAAGTGGGAGACAGGAAGTGACTCCATGCCTTGAGCTGGAGGCCGCACCAGGCAACTGGGGCCTACTGGCTGTGATTTGAGGCTGCAGGCGACCAGGGCTCTGCCCCAACATTTCCAAGTTACAGATGTTGCCCATAGGGAGATGTCCCTGCCACTGGTAGCAGGTGCTCAGAGTGGCCATCCACACCGATCTGTTCCATGTGGCAAATAATACAAGGCCACAGACCAGAAGAGTGCTACATGCAAGACGTCCCGGGTCTGGAAATGCATGGTGGAGGGGCTGTACCTGGGGGTGGCTCCTTGCCGCCAGAGTCCTGTGGAAGCTCAGGTAGGGATGGACAGAGAGCACAGTGTGTGTGCATGTACCTGTGTGTGTGGGTGTGTGCATGGGTGTTTCTGTGAGTATATATGAATCTTCTGGCCTCACCCTCTTCCCATGAAACCACCAAGACTGCATCGCTGGCCCTCACCCCATGAGCATATCCAACTCCCAAGCATCCTGGCTCGAACAAATTTCTGCCCTAATCGCCCTGCACAATGAAGGTTTAATCTCTACTCACAAAGGAGTGGGGACATTCAGTCTGCATTGGAACCACAGCCCAACTCTGACCCCAGAGTGCTCATGCTAAGTGGCCAGGAAAGTTTTCTCCACTGTCCAGCTATAAGAACTCAGATTTAGGAGCACAGCACCTTGTGTGATTCGCCCCTGAATGTCTTGGACCGCAGGGTGTTTGAGCAGTGTTTTGAGACAACTCAGAGCAATCAAGGCAAATTGAGACATTCTTATGCTTTGTAGCTTAATAAGAAGCCATTGGTCCCTGGGGTTGTGACCTAGAAAAAACTGGAGTCTGAAATCCTGAGTGCCCATTCCATTACTACTGGGCACCAGCCACATGGCCAGGGTCCCCCAGAAGCCACACACAGCCTATCTTGATTCAGCTTAGCACAGACTTGAGGTGTTGGAGGCACTGGGCAGCCAGCTGGACATGCCCACGCCTGGATTCTTGAGATCATCAACTCACATCTCCCATTCAACTCAGTTTATACCATCACTGTCTGATGACTAACACAGAGGGCCGCAAAGACGGGCCGCTGCCAGTTAGATCTGACCCCATGGGACATACAGGAAGTCGTCATCAGAGTCCAGGAAGAAGTGGCCACAGAAGAACAGGAAGGACCCTCAGGTGTGGGGGCAGAGGTGGCTCCAGGAGGCAGGAGGCGAGAGAGGGGTGAACACTGATCCAGGCAAGACCAGACCCCACAGCCATGGGCGAAGGGAAGGGGAGAGACAGTCCAGAGACAAACAAGGGGAGGGCCAGCAGACCTCTTAGGAGGCTGAGCAGCAGCCCTGGGGCAGAGCCAGAGGGTTTTACTGGGGACGGGGAGCAATGAGGTCTTAGAATGTGAAAAAGAAACAACAGTTCAGGCCAGATCGCTGGTAAGAAATGACCTGGCTTCTGGCTCAGGGGCCCCTCAGGCCAGGGCGGATGTCCCCCTGTCCCTGGGGTAGCTCTGTTCCTGCTGAGGTTAGCAGAACAGTGCCCTCCTGGCTGGCTGTATGTGAGCCCCCTCGCCTCAGGTTTCCAATTGTTTCCCTTTGAGCCCAGATAGTCCATGGAGCCCCATCTCCTTCCCATCTCAGGCCAGGCCGTATGACTGGGAGATATGGTGACTGTTTACATTGTTTAGTTTTTATTTTTATGACTCTATTTGCAGTCCATAATGATTCATTCATTGCATGCCCTCTCCCTCCTCACCCCCACTTCCATTGCTTGCTCCCCTCCCCTTTGTAAAAGAATCCATCTCTCTGTGTCCTATTACCTATCTTTTATTTGTTCTTTATTTATACTTTTGGTTTCTCACATAAGAGAAATCATACAATATTCAAACTTGCATGTCTGATTTATTCCACTTAACATTATATTCTCAAAACGTATCCTGAATACTTAAATTTTTTAAATGTATGCAATAAAAGACACACTGCCATGAATCCTCCTCAAAATCCTTCCCCTTGCTTTGAACACATTCAACCCGTCATCCTTACCACTTCCTGCAGCAGCTCTAGAGTCCTCTTTCCTGAGAGTCTTTAGCTGCGCTGTTCTGGCTGCCTCGATGTCCTGAATGGATTCAAAACATTTCCCTTTCCTGGTCATTTTGATTCTAGAGAAGAGCCAGAAGTCACTGGAAGTCATACGATGCCAGATCCAGGGGCTAAGCTGGACAAGGACACAGTGTCATGCTTTTACAAGCTGCCTTTCCATTGGGTGGTACTTGACAGCAGCACCCACAGTATTTTTGAGTGCCCATCACCATTCTGGAAACACCTGCCTGGACCCTGCTTTGAGGGGCAGGTGGCTTCACTCCCTATAGCAAGGGTGCTGCCTTGATGTTCTCTCCCCAACCCAAACACTCACCCCCAGCACCTGGACCATCGTATGCTTCTGTGCAAATGTTTTAAAAGCACAGCGCCCCATCCAGGACGCCTTGTGCAGCCCAGGCATCAGATGGCAAGTGTGTCAGTGCTGGTACACAAGACCTTTGTCACCTCTGCTCTTTTGCTGGTAGACGCATGGTGAGTGGCTGCAGCCAGCGTATCTGCATGCGACATTGAAGTGTGACTTTCATGCATTGTCTCAAAACATCATTCTTTTGGCTATTTCTAGCCATAAAAAGAAGCAAAAACCAGATCCATGGGCTGGACCTGACTGCTAGTGATGCTGGGCCCTACCAGATACCTTAGCAAAAGTTTAGACTTGGAAAGAGATGGTTGAGGAACAAGCCAAGTCTGTCCTGGTCCCTACTCCTGCTGTAGCTGGCAAGGGCGCGCTCACGGGAGGGACCTGAGTCTGTGCTGTACTGCCAATGCATTACACACCCGCAGCAGGCCTTAGAGGTGGACAGGAGCAAAATACACTCTACACATCAGAGCCCCCAGGAAATACAGGGCAGCAGGCAAGAGGGGTGACAGGGTGGAGATGATAGACACATGGTACATGCGTGTGTGAATCTGCCAGAGTGAAGCTTATTAATCTGTGTAACTAATAAAAATAAAAGGTTCTAAAAACTTAAAGAGGAAATGTACACACATAAGCAAAAAACAAAAACAAAAACAAGTCCCCTGTGGCCTTCTGGCAGCCTCAGCTCCCAGTTCAAGTGCCTCACCTCAGTAATCCTAATGAAAGCATTTCTCCTGGGAACTAAAACTTCCAATCTAGTAGCGCCCAGAGTCAGAGGCAGCCAGCAGAAACCCTGTGGGCAGTGTGAAACACCACTCCCAGTCCAGGGCTGTGTGTTCAGGGGCTGGGAGAAAGAGCACACGCATTGCTGGCTGACTCCAACACATGTGCGTCGTGTGAGAACCATCTCCCCACAGTGCTGCATCCGCCCCTTGTCCCCTCCATCAGCTAGACGAGGTGCTGATCAATCGGCATAGATGCTGATCATGGGGCTGACATGCATCCTCACCAGCCGCTTTGGTGAACCAAGACGCAAATCCTCCCTGGCTTCCCAGGAGGGGGCCTCCTTCTGACATGAGGAACTAGATGGTCCTGAGTCTAGATTTGTGCGGGGATGTGTTGCTGCTAGAGTTATAGGTCAGTTTCCTCCTTCCCTGAGGGAAAGGACATTACCAAGGAGCACTGCTATCCAGCTGCCCTCAGCAGTGCATGCCTATAATCCCAGTGCTCTGGGAGGCTGAGACAGGAGGATGGCAAGTTTGAGCCTAACCTGGGCAACTTAGTGATTTAGGCAGACTTTGTCTCAAAATTTAAAACACAGTAATAGTAATAATAATAAATACGGGCCAGGGATAGAGCTCAGTGTGAAGGCCTCATGTTTGATCTCTAAAAGAATACAGAGCCGCCCTTAAAATGCCACCTTCTCAGCTCAGAGGCCTTAGGTCTAAGCAGACAGTTTCTCCTTCTGTGTCCCCCATCTGCAGTCCACAGGGCATGTGCTCTTGGTCCCGGGCCCCTGCCTTGTGTTACATGTGGCGCAAATGTGTGTCTTTCAGATTACCACGATGGAGAGCAACCTGAAGACGATTGAGGAGGAGAACAAGGTCATCGAGCAGCAGAACGAGTCCCTCCTGCACGAGCTGGCCAACCTGAGCCAGTCCCTGATCCACAGCCTGGCCAACATCCAGCTGCCCCACATGGTAAGTGACTGAGCATGCAGCACCGGGGCCTCGAGCCGCTGCAGTCCACTTCACGACACAAGTGTCTCTGTACGGTTGTCCCATGGTTCTTCCGGTCTTTGGATGTTTTCGGGTTACCACCCCAAAACCGTAACATTAACCGCTAGGCACATCGGCGGGGCTGCTCCCATAAAGTAGAGCATACTCTGACTAGGCGACACGGCAGGGTGCTATGATACTGTTTGATGCTTTTTTGAATATACTATGAAGAAAATAAAAGTTGTATATGAACTACTATTTAATATCTCGTAGGATCCAATCAATGAACAAAATTTTGATGCTTACGTGACTACTTTGACGGAAATGTATACAAATCAAGACCGTTATCAGAGTCCAGAAAATAAAGCCCTACTGGAAAATATAAAGCAGGCTGTGAGAGGAATTCAGGTCTGAACAGCTGCTCTAGAGATGAAAATCATGCTTAAAAAAGGATGCCTCTTGCTTTTTGCTGCTGTAATTTACCAGAAAGTGTTCTATATTTATTTCTGTTGGAACAGTGTTATGCTTACAAGACTTCATAATGATTTTATGTCTTGCTTTAAAAATAGTACCTGCGGAATAGTTTTTTGAATACATTCACATTTTGTACGTTTTCATATGAGCCGACATAGTGTGATATGCCATGTAATGTTTATAGCTGCTACTGTATGCACATCTGGGGGTATATATATTTCTGAAGAGGTAAGCTGATCAAAATAAATAGAGTGTAAATTCTTTTTAATGCTTTAGTGATTAAATGTTTTAGTATTTTGAACTGAAATGGACATAAAAGATTTAAAAAGAAAAAAAACAGCTTTGAATGATCACGTGGTGGCCTTCGGGCCACTTATAGACATTATCATTTGCCTCATGTTAGAGGACTTTATGAAACTTAAGAAATACATTTTGTGTGCATATTGTTTCATAGCGAGAATTGGTTGCAAAAAATGCTTTATTTTTGAACAATGCTTGGAAATATTATGTGATTTTTTTTTGTTTGTTTGTTTGTTTTAGGAGGATGGTGTATGGTGGGGGCAATAATGAGGTTTTTTGCATTCCAAGGAAATGGCTTATGGATTAACTGTAAGAAATGAAATAAGTAATTTATTGTAAGCCAACATCAAGCCATGGAAACTTGGCAGAAGATTCAAAGCAGCTTAAACAGCACTTTTAAATTAACTCCTAAACATTACATGGTGTGACTATGGGGACTTCCGTTAAGACAGAGCTTGTCAGAGGCGGACAACACGAAGATTTCCTTTTGCATTTTCAGTAACTCTTGGAACAACCATCTCTTATCTCTGCTAGAGTCCCGTGCCCCTCTGAACTGTTACCGAAATGTAGTTCACCTAAAAGAAGTTGTGTTTCCAATTTGAGCGAAAAGATCACTTAAGAGCATTTATTTCCCCTTTACACTTAAAAAAAAAAAAAAGATCATTATTACTGTGGTTCTTTCACATTGGAGGAGAAAAAGGCTAGTGGCTTGTGAGTATTCTGGTTACTGGACTGGATTTTCTGCTGGACAGGTAGGAGAGTGGCTCGGTAAACACAGCCCCTCTCCTCTCCCGGCCCAGCTGACTTTGATAAGCTTTGGACCAATTCAAAGCTCTCTGAAAATGACGGGCATTTGTGTTTTACCCTCCACGGGGTCCAGCTGACCACACAGCGTTTGCATAGCCTTGTCTGGTTTTGTGACCTATTCTAAGAATGAATGCAATCAGATTTTAAAAGTAACTAAATATACTTCGGCACTTTTTTTGCTTTAAACTAGATCATCTTAGACTTGTTTATACCTTGAGGATTTGATTGTTTTATTCCAAATGACTGCACTATCTGTATGCATAAGACCACTTTTGATTGCTGCGTTTGCCCTCTGAGTAGTCCTTCGACAAATGTGTTGTGTTTCCTGATGTTGACTTGATTTCTTTGAGTAGCATCTCTCCCTTCCATGTCTTGATGTTATGCAGGAAGTACAAAAGTACTTTAAAATTTTGTTATGAAATAAAAAAAGATGGGTTTTGTAAAAATAAAAAAAAAATATTTTTAGCAGAACAGGACTTACAGGGTCATTGTTCACACAATGTGCCAGTCGACTATTTGCACTTACCTTGTCCTACATATCCGTACGGAGGTGTGCAATTCCTGTGTCAGCGGCCTGGTGGCCCTGACCCTGGGTGGATTCTAGAGGAAGCCCTCATGGCTGACCCAGCATGGTTGCTAAGGGAGATTACAGGGATCTCACTACAAATATTCTGATACAATACTCAACCTCGGTATATATATATATGTATAAATATATGTATATCCCAGCGGCACTTTATACTGCTCACTGTACAAAAGCTTACAGTTTTCCACAAGGACTTTAATAACTAGCTGGGAAAAAAAAAAAGATTATGTAATTACTTTGGGGCTCTGCAGTACTGTCTCTGTACAGGGGCCCCCTTTCTGTTGCGCGATTAGTTGTAGCTGCCACGCTCAGAATTGCCTTTTTGAAAGCTGAAGCAAGGTGCTTACGGTCACCTGTTGCCATACACACGGTCCCGGGCGTTGGCCTCACCTGGCCTGGCCTCGGGAGAGCCCCTGTTCATAGCGGCATATGCATTTCCCCACCGCGTCTTGTCTGCAGCTTCTTGGCCAATGTAGTAATGCTTTTAGTAGAGTAATAGGTAGTATCAGTTTGGATTCTTATTGTTATCACCTATGTACAATGGAAAGGGATTCTAAGCACAAATTTGCTGCTCATGTAACGTTGGTACATAATATCAAATCAAAAGTTATCTGTGACTATTATATAGGGATCACAAAAGTGTCACATGTTAGAATGCTGACCTTTCATATGGAATTATTGTGACTCATCAGAGCTTATTTATTATAACTTATTGTTCATATTCATTTCTAAGTTAATTTAAGTAATCATTTATTAAGACAGAATTTTGTATAAACTATTTATTGTGCTCTCTGTGGAACTGAAGTTTGATTTATTTTTGTACTACACGGCATGGGTTTGTTGACACTTTAATTTTGCTATAAATGTGTGGAATCACAAGTTGCTGTGATACTTCATTTTTAAATTGTGAACTTTGTACAAACTTTGTCATGCTGGATGTGAACACATCTTACTCTAAATAAAAAGGTGTTGCCACGTTTGTAGCACGAAGGATCTCTAGCCGGGTCTGCGTTTTCAATGAAGTCTGGGTCACTGTCTGGGGGGCCTCACTGTCAACTCCAAAGTCTTGTCTTGTTTCCCTTCTTTTTCTTTTCTTTTTCTTTGATTCTGTGTGTGGAACCCAGGACCTCATGTTTGCCAGGCAAGTGCTCCCCACTGAGCTACACCACCGCCTATCATCCATTGCCTTTGTTCTTAATATTTTTAGAGGTTAGAGCTCAACTCCAAGGCATACTTTTCAAACTTGGGGAGTAGTTTGGCATCTTACCCCCGTGCCTGCTTTTTCGGAAAGGTCGTTTTGCCGAAGGTCTATTGTACCTACTTCCTCCTAGCAGAGAGTAAACACAGACCCAGCTGTCCTCCGAGGTGTCTCCTGAGAATGTAACCCCTTCCTGCCGACCTGGTGCTGCAGCCTGGCAGAAACGAAGTCTGTGTTACTGAGCATGCGTCACATCCGGGCTCCCAGCTGAAGCGACAGCGTCATCCATGGGGGCTGCCTTACCTGGATCCCACCACGTCGCCTCCCCCTTTCACACACAGTCTCCAGCAGTTCTTCAGCTTTCCTGGGCCCCAGAAGGAGAAGGTCTCCAAAGGCCCAGAGCAGTTATTTTGCAAAATGTCCCCGGATTAGCTTGTGCGACAGTCACCTTCTGATTTATTTGATACAAACGGTCAGCGTGTCCGCCTCCTGGTCCCACATCCGGGGCACTTGATGTCACGTGGGCCTTAGTTGCTTAGCTGTCTTTTAAAACAATGCACAGTTACTTCCACATGAGCAGCAGGGATCTGGACACCGGAGTCACCCTGAGTTAAATCAACCTTAAAGGTGAGTGAACCATGAAATGCTTTCCAACCATCACTGTTCAGAGAGGCCCAGGTTTAAAACTCCAAAATAGCCTACGACAAAGGGCACAGTTTCCCAAATTTGAAAAAGAGACCATCATCCTTTTTCTTTTCTTTCTTTGTTTTTTTTTTTTTTTTTTTTTTTTTCCTTTTTTTGGTCTTTTTCATTTTTATCGGTAGCAGAGATCAAACACGACCGCCTGCTTGCAAGGCAGGAGCTTATGCCGGTGAGCTAAACCTCCAGCCCCACTTTGTTTTGTTCTTTATTTGAGTCTGGATCTTGCTATGTTGTTCAGACTGACCTTGAACTCACTATGAACCTGGGCTGGGCTCTCAAACTCCTGGTGATCCTCCTGCCTCAGCCTTCCCACCATATCCTTTGTTAAATTCTAAAACTTATTCTTCTGCTTCAAGATTCAAAGTCAGTCGTGAGAGCCTCTGACAAGCTAGTGTGTCTGATGTCCACACATTCCTGCACTGTGTCACGGGAGCCCTGACAGAGCCCGTGTGGAATTTCCCAGTGCTAAATGGGGTGAGGAGGTGGTGTCGCCTGAGGATCCCTTTTCTTTCGTCCATCCTCAGGAAGAGATGCAGTCACTGCCAGACAGCAGCTGCTGGAACTGACTCACTTTTGCAACCTGATTACTAAGAGCTACACACACACACACACACACACACACACACACACCCCAACTCCCGGGCCTTGTGCCTCCGCAGTGATACAAGCATTTTTTTTTTTTTCTTTTTTTTTCTTTTTTGGTACTGGGGATCGAACTCATGGCCGCCTGCTTGCAAGGCAGGTGCTTATGCCACTGAGCTAAATCCCCAGCCCCCATACAAGCATTTTTAAAGCAGTTTAATGAATGTCAGATATCTGGAAAAAAAATTCCAGTCATTGATACAATAGTGCGATCATTTATCCAAAAAGCGTTCAAAGAGCCATAAATGCACCACAACAAATAAAGCCAGCCCCGAGATCCTATGAGAGAGGAGTGAGAAATTCATGGAAAATGCGCTCAGTAGCGTCCTGCGGAGATGTTAAGGTGAAGCTCAGAAAGGTTGCAGTCACCAATCACTGAGCCCGGGGACACAGGGCTCCTGTGGGAAAGGCAGGGTCTCACTCTGCTCACCATGGACGGATCTGGGAGAGTTCATTGCCGGCCCCAGCTTTGGGGCTGAGGCTGTCACGGAGTCGGTCCCCTGCCAGGTGACCCAGCACAGTTGCAGAGAGGGGAGTAGCGTAGATACCGCGTCGGAAATGGTGTGGCCCCCCCTAGATGCGGGGTAGCGGTCCCTGTCCATCAGCCCACAGCTATTCCACTAGCCCTGTCTCCTCCAGACACCCCAGTTATCAGGAGGGGAGGTGATAATCCCTCCGAGGGCTCCCGGCAGGAAGTGGGCCTTCCACTCAGGCAAGAGCTCCACAAAACACCTCCCTCCTGGTGCTGCTGGCTGGAGGCAGCTCCTACTCCGAGACAGGTGGGCATTTATGGTCTGGTCAGCAGGACACGCCTCCTACTTTGTCTCTGTTGAGATGGGTTTTCTAGGCACAATGACCAGCAAGCACCCTCCACCCCTGAGGATCTCAAAGACGAGGCCTTTTTGCTTTGCTTTGTTTTGACTTTTTGAGACAAGGCTTCCCTAGGTAACCCAGGTTGACCTTGAACTCATAGGGAGATCCTCCAGCCTCAGCCTTATGAATGCTGCGACAAAAAACGATTCAAATATGTATCAAGGAAAACATTTCAGTGTGAGAGTTTGCCTATCGCTTCGAGTCACCAGGTCACACACAGATTCCCCAGTGGAGCATGAGAAATTCTTTTGTGAAGGCAGCATCCCTTGGTAAACAGTGTCCCCTTGCCCTGTTCCAGGAAGGGAGGGCTTGGCAGAGAGCTCTAGTCTGACCTCTTGCCCGCCCCAAGAGGTTTCTCTTGCTTTGTTTCAGTACCTGGGCTGGAATCCAGGGTCCCCACACTAAACTACAATCCCAACCCTTTTTTATTTTGAGACTTGATCTTGCTAAATTGCCAAAATAAATCTGGAGCATGCAATCCTCCTGCCTCAGCTTTCCAGAGTGCTGGGATGAAAAGCCTCTGCCACCAAGCCAGGCTGACCAATTTGTTTCCTAATGCTTTCCAGGCAGAAAGACTGACTCATTTTTCCTGTGCATCCAGACAGACCCTGCAGGGCCTGGGGCACAATGGACAGGTCAGTACTCACCACTCCCACTCATGGAGCTGGAGGAAAATACAGTTTTGTGAATATGGAAAGAGAGTAGTGTTCCTCACACTTGCTTCTCCTCATGTCCTGCTCTCACCTACTCCTGCCTTTCTGTGCTGCCCTCTCACCCCTTCCACCCTTAGTTTAGAGGACTGAGGAGCGACTGTGATCCCCCAGGAGTGTAGGAACCTGGTGTCACCTGGCTCAACTCTCACCTCTCACCGCAGGTCCAGGCTGGTGCCTGGGAGCTCAGCCCATGTTCCCACAGGAAGGTGGGGGACACAGGCCCAAGGGCAGTGGGCCTGCCGCAGCAGGGCTGCATTTGACTGGAGCCCCTTGAGGCAAGGACCAAGATCAAGGCCTCAGAAGGGAAGGAAGAGAAAGCTGGAGGCTGTGAGCAGGAGTTTGTCTTTATTCCTGTACCATTCTGTCTCTAAAGACAAAAGGTACAGGCTGCATGAAAATGGCAAACCTCTGCTCTGCTGAGAATGGTGAGTGGCTGAGATGTAGCCTGGCCACCTGGCTGAGGCTGCTGGGGGAAGGGAGACCCGGCACAGCTGCCCCTCCCCGCCTCCACCCCACTGCTAGGCCATTCGCTGTCCTTAGAGATGCAAAGTCTTAACTCACTCACGGGATTGGGCCAGATTTCAAGAGATCCCTTTACCAAAACTCAAGTCCTGTACCTGGAAGACTGGGACCCAGCTGGACTGATTAGGGATGGCCTGTGCTGAGATCCCTAGGAATCACAATGGGACACTAGGGACATGCTGTGGTGCGGTTTCTATTTTCTGGAGTGAGAGTTTCAGATGGTCATAAAGGAGGAAGGGAGCTGGACAGATGGGGCACACCTGTCATCCAGCATCCAGGAAACTGATGCAGGAGGTTCTCAACTTTAATCCCAACCTGGGCAACTGCATGATTTAGCAAGACCCTCTCTTAAAAATTTATTGCAGAAAGAGGGAGAGAGAGAAGGGTGGAGAGAGTTGGCCATGTAGTTCAGTGTAAAAGGTACTGGGTTCAAGCTCCAGTATAAGGAAGAGAAGGAAAAAGAAGAAGGAGAAGAAAGAGGAAGAAGAAAACTGTAATCTCAGCTTTTGGGAGGCTGAGGCAGGAGGATTGCTGCCAGCCTGCACTACATAGTGAGACTCTGTCTCAAAAAAAGAAAGAAGAAAGAAAGAAGAAGGAGAAGAAGAAGAACTAGGAGAAGGAGAAATGGAAGAAGATACAGAAGGAGGAAGAGAAGGAAAGCAAGAAAGAAAGAAGGAGTAAAGAAAAAGAAGAAACAGAAAAACCATTTAAAACCAGGGAAGGTAAGGCCTTCCAGAATCCTAGTGGCTACTTTTACTGGCCCATGGAGCTGATTTTTGCAACATGACTGAGAGGTCAAGAGTTTAGAAATGTGAAGTCAAAGCCACTTATGCACAAGAGGCCTGAGTTCTCTTCTCCAAAAGGAACCCACATCCACTCTCTGAATTATTGAGGAGAAACATTCAGTTTGGCAGAACAGTCCAGACTGGCGGGCCAGGGCCGGCTCTGGGCCTTGGCTCTCTGCAGGTCCAGCCCATGGGCGTGTGGGAGCATTTCCCACCCTCTCTGTCCTGAGACACATTCTTCTCATCTCAGGCAGGGGACTCTGAGATTCTTGGGATCCATTTATCCAAAGCCTGGGAGCTGGCAGTTGTTGGAGGTATCTGGAAGTGCTCTGGGCATCTCCACCGATTTTCAGTGCTGCCCTCCCTACTCCATGTTGTGGGTATTAGAGGCCCCCACAGACCTGTCTGGCCCTTAGGTCTGTGCTGGGAACCCTGGAGTGTTGTCCAGTAATGACACATGAACCCAGGTTTTGCACCCACCCTCCTGGGCTGGGTCTTTGGGTTTGGACTCCCCAGGGTTTGGAAACACTCACCCCTCGGTGCTAGGTGGACCTTGAGAAACTATCTTGAAGTCATATTGAATTTTTCAAAGGAAGTCCTGGAATTTCTCATAAAACAAACTCCCAAGTCATCCTGTGGGCTCTGGAAAATACGCCCCCACTGCAGTCTTGGTAGTTCTGCCTTGTCCTACTGGACATTTCTTGGCTGCCAGGGGAGTTCCGCTAGGTAATAGGAGATGCACTGACCAAAACTGTGTGCAAAAACTCCTGGTGTAGGCTGGTATGATGGCAGTGGGTTATCAGAACTTATTAATATTAGTGTCACTAAAGTTGGTATACCACCCCCCCACACTGCTAAATTTGGCAAAAAAAAAAAAAAAAAAAAAAAAAAAAAAAACCCTCCTGGTGTACTGGGGAGCCACTCGACAAGGGTATGCTGGGAACTGCTGAGACAGACCGACCTCCTGCTGCAGGAGGAATCTCCCACTGGGTCTGCAGGGTGGCTTCTAAGGTGATTGACCTGTTACCCAGTGATGGTGGGACTGTAAGGTGCTCTAGCTCCTACCCAGCAGGGCAGCTGTCATATAGCAGCCTGGTCCACGCTGTGCTTCCACATGACTTCCAACCATGGCAGTTTTGTGCTTAATAAAAATATTTCACTCTTGGGCTGGGGATTTAGCTCAGTGGCATAAGCACCTGCCTGGCAAGAGTGAGGCCATGAGTTCAATCCCCAGTCCCCCACACGCACACAAAAATTTCACTCTTGCCAGGTACAGTGGTGCACACCTGTGATCCCAGCACTCAGGAGACTGAGGCAGAAGGATCACTGCAAATTCAAGCCCAGTCTGAGCTGCATAGTGAGACTGCAAAGGCTCACAGCGGCCCCAAGGATAAGGGACAGGACAGTTTCACATGCAGATTTCCAAATCAGCTTCCTTCTCATGTGAACAGCTGAGGCATCTGTCTACCTCAGACTCACCTGGTCTCACACCAGCTTGAAGCTCTCCGATGGAAAAACTTGCTTGGCTTCCCACCAGATGCAGATGAAGGACTGAAAAGAGCATCTTCTGACTAGGCCTTCCAGCAGCTTCAAAGAATTGGCCCACAGTACTCAGCCAAGCCCATCTCTTTGGATCATGTGTTGTGCACATGACCTCTCTTTTTAAGAAACACCTCACTCAGCCCACTAGCCAGGGATGCCTGGCACATGGTTAATGCCAGATTCATGGTATCTTCCCCTCCTATCTTCTTTGTGTCCTTTAAGTGAATCCTCTAAGCACTGGTCTCCACATCTGCAGAAGAGGTGCTAACAGTGGCTTCATAGGTTGTTAAGAGGACTGGAAAACAAAATACATGCCTTCCGGCATTACACGCATTGACAGACTGCACCACGATAATGTCTTTTCACAGGCTCACTTGCCTCGCATCTTTGCGTGAATCTACAAACAACTAAAGAAGTCAGCCAGCACAATTGGACCTGGAAGAAATGTTTGCTGTGGGACCAAGATGGATGTGGAGTGGAGAAAAGGATTCCCATCACAAGGAAATGAGAGTGTTTCACCTAAGTCTCATCCTCAAACAACTCACTGGGACCTGGCGATGTGAGCCCCACCTGGGTTTCTAGAGGGCAGATGAGGGGTGAGGCAGGAGGGTACAGAGAGCCCATTTAGTTCGATTTAAGAATGTCATAACTAAAACACAAGTTCTTTTAGGCGTCAGTCATGGTACTGGCCCTACTCCCACCACAGGTCTTTGTCCCACACTGTGCAAATGGCAGTTGTGCATTTCAGGGTCTCCTGAGCCAATGGGATGGGTGGATGGAAAAGTAGGTGGGTGAATGGAAGGAAAGATGGATGGATGGGTGGATGGATGGATGGATGGATGGATAGGTGGTAGATGAGTAGATGGGTAGATGAATGGAAGAGTAAACAGCTGAATGAGTGGATGGATGGATAGATGGATCGGCAGATGGATATGTGGATGGATGGACAGAGAGATGGTGGGTAAATGGATTTACTTTAAGGAATTGAGTTGTGTGATTATAAGGCTGATAAGTCTGGCCTCCAGCAAAGGCCAGCAGGTTGGTAACTCAGGCAGGAATTGTTGCTAAAGTCTTGAAGTATAATTTCTGCTTCTCTAGGAACCCTCAGTCTTTACTACAAAGGTCTCAACTGATTGGGTAAGGCCCACCAAAACTCTTCAAGATTACATTCTTCACCAGTCCACTGGTTATAGAGATTAATCATACCTTCAAAGAAATACCTAGATTGGTGTTGGATCGTAGATGCATAAAACCAACCATCTCCTCTGGTCTAGGAGATGGCTTTTGAACTGAAAAGAAAAGCTAAGGATTCATGATACCCTGAAAAGTTTTGGCCTCCCATGTACTTGGTGGCTGGGTATTTCCCTGCAGGCCAGCAAGGTAGGGCCAGACACTTGTATTGGGGAGTAGGAGACCTGGATGACCCTCTGGCAGGAGGGCATTTAGCTGCCTAAGGCTCCCAAAGAGACCTCCACACCCAGCACTGCCCTTAGCACCCAGGCTTGGAAGGCGAAACCTCAGAAAGCCTCATGGCCCTTATTTTGGTTTTTCTCATGAATGACTCTAGAACCAAAAAAGATAAGAAGTGGAAACACTGAAACCATGTCTGGCTGTTTCCAAGGTGCCCTTGAGGGAGAAAGGATAGAAGGAATAAAGATACAAGGAAACTAAGAACTGAATAATTGTACTTCTGAGAAGACTGCAACTTCTAGACACATTCAGAATTTCCCCAGGAATCCCCTTGGTTCATTTAGGCTCCTTCTCTTCCAGACTATCACAGCCCAGATTCCTCAGGAATATTGAAGCCCATAAATTGGCTTAGCTGAGAAAGTTAAGAGCAGAAACCTGATCCTGAGAGAATTCAAAGAATGCTTAAATTATCCATTAGAAAAAAAAAAAAAAAAAAAAGGCAGCCAGATGAGGTGGCCCAAGCCTGTAGGGAGCCTCCAGCAGTACAAAGGCTGGGGCAGGAAGAATCCTGCAAGTTCAAGGCCAGCCTGGGCTATGTAGTGAGTTCAGAGCCAGCCTGGATTACATAGTGAATCACTGTCTCAAAAAAAAAAAAAAAATCTAGCTCATACCTATAAAATGAGGCCTTTTCCCTTTGGGGGCACAAGACACCCTTTTCCTGCAGTTTCCACCCCCTGAAGAGAAACACAGATGTTCCTAGTTCCAGAAAATAATACCTCTGCTGCTGTCTGTCTCTCCCTGCAACCCAGCTACCACCACTCCCCATTTTGTTGAGTGTGTACTTTTTAATTTCTGCCTAATTTTAATTTCTCCCTTTTTAATTTCTCCCTTTCTGCCTCTTACTGGTGTGTCCTGAAAATTCTTTCTCCATAACAGTCAGTAAACCTTCAGACTTCTTCTGTGGGTAGGGCAGGTTTAGGCTCCTTATCTCCGCTTTACAAGCCTGGGACTGCCTGGTGAGGTTTCTCTTTGCAAGCCATGCCCCTGGGGAAACCCAGTTTGAGGATCCTGACTTTGGTAAGTGAATCCAGCCAAAGGCTTTGCATCTTCTCCCTACTTCCCCCAACTCTTTGCCCTCCGAAACATAGCTTATTTTTTCTCCTCTGCCTTCCTACTCCTCTTTCTTTTCCTGTTTCTCCTCCTCCTGCTTTCTTCCTTCCCTCTAACTCACTGCAAATCTCTGCAACCTTAGGGTTTTTGTTTTGTTTTCTATTTCTGTTGTTGTTTTTTCCTTTTCAGCACTTAGAGGCAGGTAGTGGGCACCTCATGGGTACATGTCTCTAATGCTATCATAGTACAGCCCCTCTGGACTTTTTAATGAATTCTTTACAGATGTTTCCAGCCCCAAGATATAAAGACCTTTGGGTTGACTTTATGAGTGAGGCCCAGCTGTGTGTGTCACTTCTTTTTCCCACCTTTCTGATCTGTTGACAAAGATTTGAGGAGCTACGTGGGTAGCAGGAGCAAGGACACTTGTCCCAGCTGTGAGGAGAGTGGGACCAGCCAATGTCACTTAATCCCAGGAATAATTTCTGCATGGCTGGCAGGGATTCCAAGAGTCACAACAGAAAATGGGGTGATGGCCTGACCTTGGGGCAAGGGGAGCTGCACAGGTAGCATAACCCCAGGAAAAGTAGAGCAGGTTTTGGCCTGACCACCTCCAATGTGTGTGTGTGTAGGGGGTAGTAGAGAGTGGGGCTGCTTGCAGTCTGACTTTAGTGACCTCGTTTTTTCTCTCCTTTTTTTTTTGTTTTTCAGAAGCATCACCAGCACCTGCTACTGCCCATGAAAAAATACACTACCTTTTCCTGAGAAGCTGAGATTTGAAGGCACGGCTCTATAAGCTGTGCTGCTTGTCTCTGACTGGATCAGTCCCTGAATTCAGAGAAAAAATAGACAACATCTTGAAGAACTGCTCTGGGTGTGAGTCAGACTTCACCCTCTTTGAGCAATGTTTGTTGAAATGAGGAACTGCTGAACTGAACCTGCATTGGGGCTGGTTATTTAGCTGTGTCCCTGTCACATCGATCCTGGGTTGTCTTTCTAAATCCAGCTATTGTCAAGACAATTCACATCCCTGACTGCAGACAGCAGCAGCTCCCTGGTTTAAAAGTAGGCCTCCCTCAGAGATGCCAAACTGAGTTTGTATCCAGGCTTTTTAGAGTTGTTATCCTGACAATCCCCCTGCTACAATCCTTTTTCTTCCTTAGTCTTCCCCACTGGGCACCCTAAAACCTCACCAGGTGGTCCTTTGCAAAAAGCTTGACATCCCTTTCTTCTGATCTCCCACCAGTTAGAGAAAGGATATGTAAATTTCAGGATAGCCAGTTTTAACCCTGTTTACTGCTAATCCTGACCAGAACAGACAAAAACTGCAACAAAAAAACTTGGCTAAGTAAAAGAAGTAACTGAGCAGCTTTTTAAAAAGCTATTTAAAATATCCCAGAGCCACTGGACAATTTTTAAATTCCACTTAAGATGTTAACTAACCTAGAGCCTGCACAAAAGCTCAAAGATGTTATCGAAGACTCAGCTTTTTTCTGCCTTGTTCCAGGATCCTTGAGATACTTGCTTTTTGTCCTCCTGTTTCCTCAATGAGTTTGTCACAGGGATATTTTCCTGACTTTTGTTTGGGAACATCTTTTCCAGAAGTCCCTGATTTCTTTTCACTACCCATGAGAAGTTCTGGCTCACAGGGGAGCCTGGGAGAGCCTGGGAGAGAGAAGGGGGTTGGCATCCCTCCGGAGAGTGGGTGGCCTCTATCTCCACCTCCACCTGTAAATTCAGAATTCTTTTGGAAAGGGAACAGTGGGGACTCAAAGGCGTGTCCTGGCCACATGCCTTTTGGATCTATAGAATGCACCCAAGGGACTCAGGTCTGTGCCTCCCTTGGGCCTACCATCGTGGGAGTTCTGTTCTACCATTCTTAAATTTACTGGATAAACTATTAAACTCAGTGGAGATGAGTTAGTTTACCAGTAAACTGTAATCAAGGACTTTTTTTTTTTCAGACAGGGTCACTCTAAGCAATTCAATATATATTTTTTTCTTTATTAACATGGGTCTTACTTTGACTTGGTATTAAACACCTAAAAGGAAAATATAACCAAATACGGGTGTGTGCATGTGCATGTTTGTGTATGTGTTTATGGATAGGGAAAAAGGCTCAAAAAGAGTAATATAATAGTAATATTAAACAAATCAAAATGGGCTGCAAACTACCCCAGTCCCTGCTGGCAGTCTCTCGAAGAGCCTGTGACAGTCTGATCTGCAGGCCAGTGCCATCATGAGCCCTTCCAAAAATGTGCCCTCCTCCTGTCAGCGTGCTCCTGCCCTGCTATTTTAGTGAACCCTGCAGGTAAAGATTTAGCTTCTTATACAAGTGTGTCTATAAAAATAGCTACAATATCTACAAATCATCTAGCTATTAAACTTTGTTATTTGTATGGTATAAACTAGCTGTTATCTGCTTCCGGCTGTATGTGTTTATATTATCTGGAGGCAGTCACACTACACGGGACCTTCAAGTCTACAAAATAAAGGCCAGACACAGGTTTTATAATATTTTTTTTTTAAACCACAAAAAGTTAACCCCATGTAGGTACGTGCTCCCTCCCACCCCCTACCCCCCACGGAGCCCTCTGAATGGAGGCGCCTTCTGTGGGATGGGTGCCCTGAAGGGTGACTCCCCCGGTTAGAGGTCCTGGAAGGCAGGCTACCCTCCCAGAGGGGTCCGCCAGGCACCGGAGGCTTCGCTCGCGGAGAAGATGCTGGGTCACGAGATACAGAAGCAGAAAGCGCGCCAGAGCGCTATGGGTCGGTGCTGGAACGCACAAAGTACTCTGAGAGCGTTAAGCTACCACGGCATCGCCAACAGCCTGAAAACCTTTTTGCGCACAGGAAGTCAAACTGAGAGAGGCGGGGTAATTTAGCTGAGGCCCCTGCGAGCAAAATCTGGGAGTCGAGTCCAGCCCCAGTTGTCTCCCTTGCACCCCGCGCTCACTCCAGCGGGTTGGGAGAAAGAGATGCAGCTGTTGAAGGCTGGGGCTAGGTCTTCGCCCCGCCCCCGCTCTGGCCTGGCCAGGGCGCAGGGAGGAGCCGCGCGCATGTGCACAGCTGGCGCCCCCTCCCGCCCCCGCGCACAGCTGGGCCGCGGGCTGGGCAAGGCGCGCAGTTAGAGCAGGCAGAGGAGGCGCCGGGCCCTGGCGGTCTGTCCGTCCCGCGCGCCCGTCGTCCGCGCCGTGGCCATGGCCGCGCGCCCCGCGGGCCCCGCTCGCCGCTGCCTGCTGTCGCTCGTGCTGTGCTGCGCCTGGGGTGCGCTGACTGCCGTCGCCCAGAAGCCGGGCGCGGGGTGCCCGAGCCGCTGCCTGTGCTTCCGCACCACTGTGCGCTGCATGCATCTGCTGCTGGAGAACGTGCCCGCCGTGGCGCCGCAGACCTCCATTCTGTGAGTGCGCTGGACAGAGGGGCGCGGGAGCTGGAGGTGGGGGAGGCTGAGACGCAAGGGGCGCAGGGAGATCAAAGGCCACAGAATCCTTGGGTTACTGGGGTTCAGGGAGAAGTGGGGGGGACTAAGGAGCACAGGATCTCGGAGGCGGTTGCGGGGCAGAGTGGTCTTGGGTGTGCATATTTGGGGTGCTGGGAGTCAAGAGGCGCCTGGAGCTTGCGACGAGGTCTGGCGTGCAGGGGGAGGCGGGGCGCATGAGGTGCTTGGACACTCAGGGGCGACAGGCGCTGGGGTCTGCTGGAACGTGGGACCCAGTCTGGCGTACGTGGGAGATTTGGGCCTTTGTCCGCCCTGGCCAGGACTCAGAGGGGCGGACCCTAGTGAGCGCGCGGCTCGGAGATCAGTCTTTGTTGGGAGCTCGGCGTCCCTGGCCCGGATGGTGAAGTCGCTGGGGGTTTCACGGGAAGCTCTGCTGACCTTTGCGCCCTCCTCTCACCGCTCTCTTTACCTCCTCCAGCTCTTTTGTGTTCACCCCACCGGATTCCCCCCTCCCCGCTCCAGCGCGGGCCCGGGCCTTTCCTCTGCCAGGGTGTCCCCTTCCCGCCCGGCCTCTCGGCTTCCCTTTTTCCTCCCTGCCCTCTGGAACCTCCCTCTCCAGTCTCATCTACCCCGCGGCGCCCCTAGACCGGATCCCCGCATCTGCCGTGGCGCGGAGCCTCCAGTCTTTAGGGTTCCCAGGGGCGCCGCCGTGGGGACCGAGCTCTGAGCAGCCCAGGGGAGCACTGAGCCCAGGCGCAGCGGCTTTGGCCCGGAGCGCGCCGCCCCTTCCAGTGCCGATGCCGGTGGCGGGACTCGCTGGCTCTTGTGCTTGCTTTGGGGTCCATGGAGTGGATACAATGTGTGGCGCGTGCTGCCCGCGGACTCTGCGCCACCCTCCCCGGGACAGGGAACGCCTCCCCTTCCCCCAGCCGGTGGTCGGAGACCTGGGGCCACCAGATTTGATTCTGAAAAGTGCAAATTCAGCAGAGGCTGGCGTGCGTTTTTTGAACTCTCATTCCGCGTCCTGCATGTCGCTTCTCATGGAGGGACCCATGCAGGAGGCTGCAAGAATTGTAAAATTCGGCAAGTGGAGGGTTACTACGCTAATCTCCAAAAGTAAGCGCCCTGCACCTACGGCCCACTGCTTGTGGTCACCCTGTGCAGATCGAGTGATGCAGGCTTCGAATGGGGGGGGCAGGTTTATATCCAGCCCGAAGTGCCCTCAGGGCCAGACTGCAAAGCTTCCCTCCTGAAGGGATTAAGGTGTTCAGCCAAGGTTGGCCTCTGAGGGCCACGCGCCAAAATGGGACTGCATGAGGTTCCCCAAGTGTGGCTAATCAGTCTTTATTGAGTCTGTGGAAAACAGCTGGCCCCTAAGGACATTTCTCACATCTGGTGGAAGCCTAACACATGAGCCATGTTTTGTTCTCAAATCGTAATTGCTCTTGAAACAGAACAGTATTGCAAAATGAGCGCTGTAGAACAAGAGTGTGCACCCCTGCCCTGTCCCGTCCTGTTCCCACCCTCACCCACCCCCATGCACCACAGCAGTGTGACAGAGTGTATGAAGGAGACAGACGGCGAGAATGTTGACCTCCTAGTCTGTGCTCAGGACACCCGGAAAAGTGCATTTACAGGCATTCATGCCACACTTGTCCGGCTTTGGGAGTTTGAAGAAACCGTTTGAAATGACAGTGCTTGGCATCCCTGACTGTGGAGGCAAGCAGATGATTGACACCCCAAGGAACTAAGGAGATTTTGGGTGAGGTGATGGTGCCCCCCCCCCTCCCCGCACTGCTGTGGGAATACAGGAGGGGTAACACCATTTTCAGCGCCCTCCAGCCAGGGCTGCAGGGAACATGGGCAGGGCCCGGGACTGGAGTTTCATTAGTGAGCTGGGTTGGTGTGAGGGAGCCTCTGTATAGACAGAGGCTGTGTGTAGCTGGGTCATTGTAGGAAGAAAGAAGGAACAGTGAGAAGGAGGGTGACCTCCCTTGTGCCTCTGGTGGTCCATGCTGATGTGGATGGGGTCGCGTCACAGGATGTAGTCCTGTGTTTACTTCGGGCTTTTCTGACAGCTTTTTCTCTCACACCCTTACTGTTTCTAATTGGAAAAAAAAATGGTAAAAATTGATGAACACTGATGGTGGCACACACTGTAAATCCAGCGCTCAGAAGCCAAGGCAGGAGGATCCCACAGGTTCGAGGCCAGGCTAGGTTACATAGTGAGTTTGAGGCCAGCCTGAACGACGTAGGAGACCCTGTCTCAAATATAACAAAAAGTTGATGGCCCTAAAAGACAGCCAGGTAAGGGACTGGCTAGCCCCGAATCGTTAGGGCTAGGACACTGTCAGGGTTTCCCTTTGCTTTCAAGACCATTGCCACCACCCCAGCCTGCTGGGGATTGAATCTGGGTCACTGGAAAGGCCATCAGGCTCCGAGTGGTTTGGGCCAAGCCTAACCCCGGACTGTCGTGGTTTGTGGGCGGGGCTCAAGACAGTGGTAGTGAGACACCAGGCCCCCTAGGGTCCAGGCTTCCTGTGCTGTGAGCTCACCCCTCCGCAGCCTCTCCGCCTCCTCCACACACCAGACTTCAGCGGCCCTGCAGAAATGCTAATGTTTGTTTAGCGCCCTGCCCTGGGCCCTGCAGGAGGAATTGGCACCGGGGTAATGAGATCGAAAGAGATGGCGCGGGTTGGTTCCCGGCCCTCTCCTCCTCCACCCCAGCATTTGGAGAAAGTAACTGCGACAGCTCGGGGTCCGGCGGGTCTCGGGGACTCTTCCCTTAGCTCCGCCCCTCTCCCCGCCCCTTCCTCCTCCCAGAGCCGGCGCCAGTGAGGTCAGGGGAATCCACCCTGCGCAGCTCACATCCACCAGGCAGTGCCCGCCTCTCCAACCCGGAGTTGTTCCAAGCTGAGCCAGTGTGGCAGAAACCCGGGCGCGTGTGGGATAGGCGAAGCAGGGAGGTGGCGCTACAGGCAAGGGGCATGGTTCCCAGGGAGGCCACCTGTCTCCTGGGCAGCTGTTCTGAATTCCCCAGCGAGCTGCGTATGTAGAAAGACCTAATGCTGGGCGTGGCGGCATACGCATGCCTATGGTCCCAGCACCCTGGGAGGCTGAGACCGGAGAATCATAAATTCAAGCTGAGCCTGGGGAACTTGATGACTTAGAGAGACCCTGTCTCAAGATGAAATAAAAGTGGCTGGGGATGGAGTTCAGTGTGAAGGCCCAGGTTTGAGTCTGCTTTGTGTGAAACAAATCACTGCTTTTCTGTTTTCGCAGTACTAGTGACTCAGTCCAGGGGGTTCACAATGAGCCAAATACATGCCCAGATCTTTCTAGGTTTCTTTTTTCAATTTTCTTTTTCTTTCTTTCTTTTTTTAAAGACAGAATTTCACTATGTAGCTTTAGGTGGGGTTTGAATTTGGGATCCTCCTACTTCAGCCTCCCAGAGTGCTGCGTTTTGCTTTACGCTTAAATGAACTGTTGTGATAAAAATCAAAGACTCTGTTATCAGCTCCAATAGATTTAAGAAGTGTCACAGGAATATTTGTAAAGGACTTAGATATTGATCATTTGTCTCAGCGTGATGGTGGACAAACCCAGTATTTTCTCCCCCAGGCACTGCCTTGCCTTGCGGCACTGCATCCACTTCTGTCCTGTCTGGAAGGCACCTGTCTGAGTTTGCCCACATCAAGGTAATGGCACCAAAGAAAATCTGTCGGTCTTGGTGCTCTCAAGACCTGGGGCAGCTCTACCTTAAACCCAGGCTGATGCAGGTTTAGATGGATCCAGTGTTGTATGTTTCTCTTCTCCCCACCTGGCTTTCTCTGGTGGTGCTGGATACAGTTTCCTAACTTAGTGATGGGTGGCAACTTCGGCCATCCCTCCCCATCCAGCAGGAAGAGGAGCCACCAGCGCTGGGTAGTTTTGGGCTCGGTCTCTCTCTCTCTCTCTCTCTCTCTGTCTCTCTCTCTCTCTCTCTCTCTGTCTCTCTCTCTCTCTCTGTCTCTCTCTCTCTCTCTGTCTGTCTGTCTGTCTCTCTCTCTTTCTCTCTGTATGTGTGTGTCTCTCAGAGACAGTGTCTTCCTGAGTCTAAGCTGGCCAACTTGTTATGCAGGTCAGGCTGGCCTCAAACTCTGGATCCTCCTGCCTCAGCCTCCTGAGTGTTACATTACAGGTAATCTGCCATCATGCCTGGGTGGCCCCTTCCCCAGCAGTGGGTCTGGAGCCCATACCTGTGTGAGTGCTGTGACCAGTGCCTGTGTCCCACACCAGCTTATGGCCAGAGCCGGCAAGGACTCCTTGCCAAGGAACTGGTACATTTACCAGATTGACCAGAAGAAAGGATGTCAGGCCAGCAGGGAGACCAGAGCTGGCTCGTCTCAGATTCCAGGTGCACCATTAAAAATGAGAACAAAACAGAGACAGGATCCAGGGTGACCTCAGTCATTGTAAAACAGATAAAAGCTGGAAGCACCTCATCACTGTGCTGATCCCCATGAGCTTCCAGCTCTCTTGAGTGGAGAAATCAGGATTTTTCTTCTGCACTTGACAATAAAGAGAAGCTTAAATCGACGTCAGTGGATAACGGGTCTGAACTCAGGACTGAAGACCTGGACATAGTTTAGGGTTCAGGCGCTCTTTGCCCCTTTCCTGCTTCCTGTATAGAACTGGTCCTCGTTCACACAGAATTGTAATCCACAATATCCTGGTCACCTGGTTATTTTAACAGTTACTTCATATGCTCTTAGAAAATGTGGTTTATTTAAAAGTAGCCTTTTTGATGAATTCGATTCAGGAGCAGTTAAATTTTACTGTGCTGCGGAGACAGTTGGGGTGTTTCACGCGGGTGGACTGAGTCAGGGCTGGACCCTTGCTGTCCACTCAGCTCTGTGTGCTACAGGGCACTGGTGCAGAATCAGCAGGAGATGGCAGGGCGTGGAGATGCGTTTTGGTCC